TAGGACACAAAGAAAAAAACTGTTCTGGCCTTGGACAGTACACTATCATAATCCAGGCCACAAGAGATCATGACCAGTCACAGAGCCAGGGTGGATTTACAGCTCCCGTTGATTCTACCGTATAAAACAAATAGGAAAGATGTCACAAAGAAAGAATGAAGAGAAAAAATTGAAGAGCTGTTGGAAGACACAGATAGATAAGCAGGCTTGATTGTCAGGACATCCACATAAAGTGGAAACATCTTAAGAATATGAAGAGGACACATAACCCAAACACGTATTTGCTTTCTGGTATAAATTGGACTGCAAAATGGCAATGGCCATGCATATACATATTTTATTACATTCCATGGATCCATAAGACAGTCAGATGACAATAGGATGTCTAAAAAGTCATAATAATAATACAATACATATTATAAAGTACAATTCATGAACCACTGACTAAAAATACTGCTGTACACATATCATATTTTTTTATACATATGACTTACATATGCTTCTTCTGGACTCTTATTAAATGCAGTTAATATGCAAATGGATTCACAGACTTACCGAAGGAATTCATTGATTCCATCATCTGAAAAGGAACCTCGTAGTATGGAGTACTTCATTTTTTTTGTATTCATGACAGCCATAGCAGGGTAGCCAAACCCTCCAATCTCCAGCATTGTTTCCAATTCAGGTTGTGCACCAGCTTCAGCCCATACCCATCTGTGTACAATACAAAAATATCACTATACCCAATTCCTTTAAGAAACATAACCTGTTACAATACAATTTCCCATCTACAACTTGTTACAGCTGCCTAAAATTGTCTGCACATGATTTTGTAGAAAGAAACTACTTTTTACAATTACTATACAACATTTCTGTTACTGGCTTCAAAACAGGATTGCTTCAACTCAGATTTGTGTTGGTAACATCCTGTAGTCTTGCTGAAGTTAGCATGATTCCTCTGAAAACACTGGAAATCAAGATGACTACTATAATAGCCAAGGAAGTTACAAAATAAAAACAGAAAACGAAGAAAGTGGCCACAATTTACAAGAAGAGTCACTTTTCAAATAGTGCCCAAGCCAGTTATTTATTATTTGTTTTTGCTCAATTTTTCACAGTACTAAGCAATGGATATTCATCATCAAAGAGTATGCTCAATAATCTGAAAGCCCAGAAAATGTCAGAAGTGAGTTCCAGATAAAAACTAGTGTCAAAGTTGGATTCAACAGGCACACAATTTTAAATCTCATCAAGAAATTTCACAAGACAAGCTCATTTTTGGATGATTACTTTCAAAGAAGCAGGCCTTAAACAGCAAGAAATGAAACCGATGTTCAAGAACTTTGAGGGCAAACACACTCAACACATCGTGATACAAATGGCTTGAGATGCTGATTTTAATGGTGTCTGAATGAGATTTTTATGCCTTATTATTGAGATGAAACAAAGTATTAAACTCGGTAGGTACGCGAGTAAGGACAGTGATGCGCAACTTATAGGCTCTCCTGACCAAAACATTAACCTCACTTTCAAGTGGTGTTCCCTGTTTGCACTAAAGAGGGTCTGGTGACCCAGGTCACAGCAGTGCAACTGTTCCACCAGCAGCGAAGGAAATCTAAGCTGCATAAGGCCTGACCAGAGCCTACAGCTAGCAAACCTACCACCAGCTTTAGCCACCGACGGCCCAGTCAGACATTCATGAATGAACAAATATCAGAACCAATTACAACAAATCAAGGTGTAAGACAAGGTTGCAGGCTATCACCAACTTTGTTCAACAAGGTGATTAAGGAATGGAAAGAGGAGGTGAGTGGGGAAAAATGGCATCCAATTAAACAAAAGAACAATAAAAACTTCTTTATGCAGATGACCAATAGGCTTCCTTCTAGACTCTCCCACAGTTTAGACAGGAACACTGTCATACTTTGGATAAGTCAATGAACACGAAGTGTGTATCTTTGCCTACAGCCATTCTCTTCTCTATAACTTGCATGAAGCAAAAAATATTATCAACACGTGACCATCCTGCCCTAAAGCCATTCCGTTGCTCTAACTGAAAAGGTTGGTACTCTTCCTCTAAGACAGTTTTCAGTACTTCACCATATAATCTACTCGTAGTACCTGTGACAGATAAACTCCTGTACTTGTCACATAGGTCCTCTCTACCTCTTTTATGTACTGATGTGATCCATGGTGTCTTCCATTCAGTAGGTACATTGTCTCCATTTACATATCAGTTAAATAAAGCCATTAGCATGACGATTAATTTTTTGGGACCATATTTTTTTTTCAATTCTACCGCAATACAGTTTTTGGAGGACTCAGAGAAGTCATTAACATTAATTTATATTTTTTCTTCAAAACAGGCAGACATATTGGTGTCTTTGATTAACACACATTTTACAAAAATCATTGTAGTTACTGACAGGTATAGAAAAGCCACATATGGACAAATACAAGGTGATTATAAACGACAAGAATTATGATTCCAGCCGCACGTTCACATCGCTTCCAGTGTAGGACTTTTGGCCACCTTTTCTTCAGAAAAACTAAAAATGTTGAATAATGGTTAATCAGTTATTCCTCTTCCGAAGCTGGAAAACAAGACTGCTGGTTCCTACAGGATGAAGCATCAGCTCACACCACAATCAAAATGTTGCAAGAATTTTTTTGTTGAAAGCACATTTCTAAAAATGTGTGACCTCCCAGATCTATACATCAATTGTAATCTGACATTTACCTTTGTGTATTTTAAAGAGATAATGTGCAGAAAATACATGTCACATACTGAAAGAACTAAAACAAAATAATAAGGGAAGTACTTAAAAAATTACTGAAGCAATTCTTCACTTTCTTACATCAAATGTGCAGAAAATATAAAATGTAATGTTTTAATGAAATAAACTGTGTCAGCATGGGTTTCATGATTTTTTAAGTGGCATATATTAGTACTGTAAACAGTATTATATATATATATATATATATATATATATATATATATATATATATATATAACACATTTCAGTTCTAATATTTCATGAGCAAATTACAAATGAATACAGGAGTTTTGAAAATGAAAATACTGTCCATGACACATTCTACACTTTTAAGACTTCATCACATGCTCATCCTATTTATGTAAAACTATTTTCTTTCCCCCCCAAGTCAATTAAATGTGTATGGCTGTTCAATAAGTGTTTCATCTACTACATAATTACACTTGGAGACAATGACAACAGAAAAATGGTTATATGGAAAGCAAATACAACACAACAAAATATACTTACCCCCACATCTTCTTCTTGTATTTGTCTCCCATTTTGTTGAGAACGTCAAGGTAGCCATTACGGCAATTAGCCTGGCAATCTAGTATATGAGGCAGAACAGACACGACACAGAGCGGATGCTGTTCACATGCCTCTTTCAAAGTATCTTCATCAATAACCTGGTAAGAAAAGACCATTAACCTGTATACTGACAGAATATTTTCATCTGTAAAAGTTTCAGCCAATAATAGAATGGTAAACATATTCACACTTTACACAAACATAACCTCCGTACATCCACCTAAACTCCCACTACTTCCATCTAGTCAGATATGACGATGCCCCCTGCACACTGATTTTTAAATATTTTAGCCTCACTGCTTTGAAATAACCTTGAAATGACCTTCGATCATATTGTTGCAACAATGACCATGGATATCACTGTTGCTTCTGACATCAATTTTGCATTTGTTATGCCATAAAATCACATCAGACATAAAATTGTTTTATTAACGAACTATATAAACCTTCTAATGTCATAACATATCGGAACAATGGTATCCTATTTGGCCTCTTGCACTTACATGTTATGAGATATATACATCCCTTTTCGCTTTTAAAGTTTAAATAAACGCGGGATACAAGTGATGGTAGGGATGGAAGTAGAGAAAGATAGACACAACAGAATTATGTACAAAATAAAGAATAAAGCAGGCACTGTCATACACTCACTCATCCTGATGATAATATGAAAGCTAAGGAAAATATTATTTTAAAACAAATTCCTACTGACATAAAACACTTCAAAAAACTGCTTCTGGAGTGTCAGTTTAACTGTTGCTTTAAAACACTAAAAGATCTAGACAATGTGTCTCCTGTTATTCATTACACTGAAAAATATCACACAATACAATTCTTTCTTGGCAATATATGATGTGAATACCTGTTTGATTTCTGGAGGAGGTACATTCTCTGCTAACTTCTCTAACGCCCAATTGACAATATCACTGCCAGTACGTCCACCATTATACTCAGCAGCGGAACTGGCATCCTTCTTTCCAGGGGGAAAGAACTTGATGGTTGGGTAACCTTGAACACCATACCGGTTAGACTTGATAGTATGAACAGTAGCATCCACAGCGCCCACTTTAACCTGTAACAGATAATGTATAATAAGCTTCTTACAGATCTGTTTTCACATCCATATTCTCTTACTGACACAGTCTGGTGACAAATTACAACGTTACACCCCAAATTAAATTAATATTCTAACACTAAAAAAAATCTTAAAACAAAACTAAGAATATTCATATTTAAAATCATGAAACGAACTTGGATAGTTTGTAGAGATTAATATTGTAAGGATGGGAAGTGTGTGCGATACATTACGCACATATACAGACTATTTCAAAAAACTGTATACACATTTTAATAAAGAATATCTATTCATGTATTCATGGTTGAACTAAAATTTAATGTGCTTCTAAGTCGTGCAGCATACACTTAAGAGATAACATTATTTTTAATTAAAAACTGTCATAAATTACCCATGATTCAGGGCATAATACAAAGAGGTGGAGATTCGCCTGACTTTAAAGCCATGCAAATTAATTTTGAAGTGGTACTGAAAATTCAAGAATGTGTGTGAAGTACAAAGATGGCAGAAACACATATTTGCAATTGAGCCATCAATATAACTAACAATTACAAGAATTTGTGATAAATTTAAGAATGACTGCACTGGGAAAAACGTGTACAAGCAACAATCTGGGAGACCTAGCTCATCAATATGTGGGAAATTTCCGCTATGGTGTTACAGCAATTCACACAATCACCAAAGGAATCTGTGCTAAGGACAATGGAATCAGCAGGGCAAGTGTACACTGGATTCTCAAAACTGCTAAGTGGAAACGTTATGTGCTGAGGTTGTAACGTGCAATGGTAGAAGCCAACCCTGATCACAGAGGTGAGTTCTGTGAATCGTTTCAAAGAAAGGTCAATGAGAATGCAAAATTTGTAGACACGAATGTTGGTCTGATGACTCAAGCTGAGTGGTACAGTGAAATGACATATTTGCACATACTGGTCTCTTTAAAATCTGAACATTCATATTGACAAGGCAGTAAATTTATTAGGACTTACAGTCTGGTATGGTGTGTCATCCAGGGGAATGGTGGGACCATACTTCACTGAAGGGTCAGTTACTAATGGTGAGTACCTCAACATGCTTGAGGTATCCAGTGTGCTCACCATTCATCAGCTGTATGGAGATGAGGAAATTTATTACCAATAAAATGGGCACCCCACATCAACATCATGATGTCAGGGTCTATCTTGATGGTAATGTCCCAGGCTAACGGATAGGGCAAAATCGTGACATAGAGATAGCTAATGTATCCACTGGAAATTTGGCAAAGTTCAGATAGAAAGAATTCGGAGGACTGCTGGTAACCACCTGTAAGACTACAGAGCCCAAAACATTACAACTGACACCTTCACCACCACGAGAATCAAAAAACCCAAATTAAGATCAGGTCAAATTTCGGGAATGCTTGCTATCATTCAGTTCAGAGTATTCCACACTTCGGCATCTCACCATAAGTGAAGAACAGAAACTAAGGGTATATGAGAATGTGTTGAGAAGAATATTTTGATCTGTGACAGAGAAAGTAATAGGAAGATGGACAAGCTGCATGAGTAATATAAAATTCTGTTCTCTTTAAAGTGATCAAGCCAAGGCGGATGAGATGGATCGAGCATGTAGTCACATGTGGGAGAGATGAACAACACAGGCAAGATTTTAGTTGGAAAACATGAAGGAAAAAACCCCACTTCGGAGACCTAGGCATGGATGGGAAAATTGTATTAAAATCGTTATCAAATAAAGGTAGGGTTTAAACCGTATTGACCTACTGCAGGGCAGGGTACAGTGTCAAATTTTTATGAACATGGTAATGAACCTTCAGATGCCACAAAGGCAGGTAAATTTGATGACAAACTCCACAAAATAAATAATATTATAAAATCTCATTGGGCAATCAGCCACGTCAATGTTAAGTTAAAAACTATTTTTTTAAAGACTAGCTCCTTCTCACATCAGAGTTAGAGTAATATTACTACACCTTACCCTTCCTTTAAGTTCACTGGCTGCTTGAGCCCAATGAGGAGCTAAGTTCTTACAATGACCGCACCAAGGTGCATAAAATTCCACCAACCACATGTCTTCTGAATTTAGAACTAACGAATCAAAATTTGAATCAGTCAATTCTATGACATCCTTAGGATCACCCTGAAACATAAGAAAAAAATGAATAGTTTCAATTTGTAGAACATTTAATTATACTGGACAGAGATCATTTATCAATGAAGTAGAAGTCTTCTGCTTGAAAGCCTAATTAACCTCCCTTCTTAGCCTGTTACACTACAACTGTGGTGACTTGATACAGTAATGATTTAATAAAAGTCTTCCCAATTAATATTTAGAAATTGGACAACCTGCTGCAATAATGGCAACCAAAGTAAATGGTGGAATTCACTGTTGAAACAATTTTAACCAAAGTCACTGTTGTAACTGTGACTATTTTTGGCTCAAGATGGCCTTATCTTATCAATTGCCTTTGATACTGTTGTTGCAATTATTCCTGTTGAGAAATACTGAAAAAGTCATCAGTCCCCTTGGACAATGATCATCAATGAAGCAACCTGCTTATGTACTCCAAAGAGTACACACCCTTTGAATTTTGTTTTAGTTTTCCTCTGTCCCTCCAGGCAAATACTACAGCAGTACCTTAAACACATTTTATGGATGCAAAAAGCCTTAGAGGCTGACAATCCTCTAAACACACACACACAGGTATACACACTTTAAAACAAGCCATGAATGCTTTCCACATCCTTTCCAGTTAATAATTCATGATCATCCTACAACTCAGTTCAACAGCAAAGGTGTTGTTAAATAACCAAGGAATGTAAAAATTCCAAGGGACATAACATGTTTCCATTTCAGACAAGTTTCAATAAAACATGGTGTTTACCTCTGGATATAATAAGCTGTATATACATATGATACACACTTCTGAAATTATAGTCCAAAACACTATTTCAGAAATTTATACTACACTGTTAATATACACTTCTACTATTTTCTTTCTTTCTTTCCTTCCATTAAATTCTTCAATTCTTAACTTTTCAGCTTTGCTGTTGAAGTATTCTGCAAATATCTGAAACTTGGCTGTAACATTCAGTTTGATAATGATGAAAATGGACAATATAATGCAGGAGTCAGCATTTGTTTTTTATGTTTATGTCAAAAACAGGAGATGGCACTAAAATGCAGTATTGACAGACAGCAATATAGCAAACATTCAAAATCTTCAGTGAAATATTAATAATGTGTTTAATAGGCCATTTGGCTGTTGATGCAGCACTTTAATAATAAAGAATTATTTTTATTTTTTATTTTATTTGTAGTGTTCTGTCTGACAACAGGTCCATATGAACAGGATCCTTCCATCCTTTTCTCGGACTGGGACCTGTTCATATACGTTCTTGGCAGATGATCCAGTTTATTTATTATTATTTAGTGTTCTGTCTGATGACAGGTCCATATGAACAGGATCCTTCGATCCTTTTCTCGGACTGGGACCTGTTCATATCCGTTCTTGGCAGATGATCCAGAAGTGGTTTGGCATTGCCTTCTTCTGTGTGTGAATGGGGTAATTGTTGGGATGCCACGGAGGAAAACTCCGTTTTGCCTAGACCACGGCCTTGCCCAACACAAGTTATAAATTCGGGCACCGCCGGGAATCGAACCCGAGACCCCAGGATTACAAGGCCAGCGTTCTAACCGCTAGACCACCGTGGCACAAAGAATTATATTGAAAAGTATATCTGAATAAACCTGCCCCTTTGCAAACTGACAGGGCTTCAAGGTTGGTCTGATAAATATCCATTCTGGTTCATATGTCTTAATGCACACATAACAGCTGTTTACACTGGGATAAATTTTCATTGTAATAATGAGCATAAACAGGTCATAAATTCCCCAAAATTAACTTACCTTTTTACCATCTGAACCAGAACCTCCACTCTTCTTGCCTGCCATTTGAGCTGACACTTTGCTTCTCAATGCATCGAAACCAGCATCCACCAGTCCCTGTGCTGTCCTTGGTCCATTGTACTCCTCTGGTTTATTCTTATTTCCACCAAAGATTTTAACTGTTGGAAAACCTTTTACACCATACTGTCCACCAAGTGATTTGTGTTCATCAACATTTACAGCTCCAACTTTTATAACACCCTACAAAGAAAATAAAACTTCTCAAATTCTAAATTTTTTTAGAAATTCATCTCAAACTCTGTATATTAAAAATCGGGTGATTATAACACAATTTTCATATTAGACACCAATCCATTATCTTTAACCTAAAACAACCATCAAAATATAAATGAGTATATTAATAATTTATTTATTTTGCTCCTGATATGTTTCAGCCACCAGGACCATTATCAAGTGTGTGTGTTTGTGTGTACCCATGCATGAGTGCATGTGTATAAGTTCTTCTTCATAATGATTTTCCTTTCATGCCCTGCATATGTAAATGTAGCCCCTTTTTTACTGTTTCCCTGAGGGTTACTTTTTATTTTTTGTGAATATGAGTGTGTTTTTATTGGTTATTTTAGAGGATTGTTTTAAAATTCCTAACTCTTTATCTTCTGCAATTTTTGATACTGGACATCTCTGTAATCTGTTTCCGATAATAGATACTTGCTAGTTGGGATGGCATGAGCTGTGCCATAGTTCCTTTCAATCTATAAATGCAAAAGTTTTAAACTAACTACATACTTCAGCAAAAAAATTATCTTATTTTAGCTACTGCTGTTCCTATTCATATTGCTATTTCCATTCCTATTATTGTCCTTATTTCTATTTTCATTGTAATTCCTACTTTCACTGTTACTGGTTTCTCCCTCTAGCTTTTCCCCCTCTTGGCCATGCCTCTGCCAGGACATCCCTGGGCTTCTACCATCTCAGGTTAGCGATATTTCAGGTTCTCATTGTGGTGAATGTAAAGACAAGTTCTGGGTTGTTAGACCATATAGTCTGGTAGAACTTTACTGACCTTTCAGAGGTGCTTGCTACTTCCATCATCATGACAATAAGTGGCCCTGATGATGGAAGCAGCATCTCCACATAGTGTCAGCTTCTATATTCTGTAAGTGTCAGAGAAGTACAAAATATTTAAGCAATTTTGTTTGTTTATTAAAGCAGATATCAAATTTACCTTCAATGCTGTAGCAGCTTTCGTATATTCCGGAACCAACTGCTGACAGTGACCACACCATGGTGCATAAAACTCTACTATCCAAAGGGCATCACTCTGTATGACGAGCCGATCGAAATTTGCTGGAGTTAATTCAACAACTTCAGAACTTGAAGGATACAAGGCATAAGAGCCAGACACAAACAGCGCAAGAAAACCTGTAAGCACACCAGGTAAGAAGTAAAACATAATAATATATTAAAGCTTAAACTAATAATGCGCAACAGACTGAAACGATGTGTCAAACGCCGACATTAAAAGTGCATGTTATAATGAAAGTACTCACCAAATAACGCAGTCATGACTGAGAATGTATTGCTGAACTGTATCTCCAGTTTTTGATTAATTCTTTACTACTATATCAAGCAAACATTACATGAATATTCCTACGTTTGCACAGTATCTACTTCCAACCGCAAACAACACCCGCACACATAACCAACCTCTCCATTATAAACTGGGAATCATATAGTGAATTTCGTGGTAAAATCTCATTGGTTGGTGTCAGTACGGTATGAAAAATACAGCAAACA